GCTGGACACAAGTGGAGAAGGTAAAGATAGGTATGGGCAGCTAATGCTTTTGGTCAGGCAAGCCTGCCAGGCTTCCCCAGTGAGATGTAGCCAAGCCACCTCCAGTGACAAAGCCAGGGGTTGTTAGCAAAACTTCCTGACAGGATGCATTTCTCAAAGTCTCTTGTGACAGGACAAGGTAGTCATTGAGTCAGCACCAGTTAAGAATTAATTTCTACACCTAGCCTGGAGTCAGGACAATCTCTGTATCTTGCGCTGTTGATTTCCATCATGAGAACATCCACAATGGGTCATGAGTTCATCTAGCCCAGCATTTTGCCCTCAACAATGGCCGTGAATGGCTGATGAGTTAAAAATTATAGCAGGGCAAGCACAGAGGCTCAGAAGCTCCCCTGAAGAGATCTGCCAGCTTCTAACCACTGTCAGCCTGGGGAAATTCCTGAGCCATAGGGTTCCTTTGTCATCCTCCAAGACACTTGCCCAGCCTCCCTTTGAATCTGTATGAAAACATCTGCTGTTCATATGAACATGCTGATAGAAATGGGGTGCCTGATGCAATCAGGGGGTGCTGACAAAGCTGCGTGGGACTATTCCAAATTTTTGGGTACATGATTTGACCAGCACTCACTCCACAAGAGTCCCAGCTTCAACTCAAACAAGTGTTTCCTGTCACCTTCACATCTGGAAACCATGCCACAGACCAAAAACTCCTCTACCAGGGCCTAGGAGATCTACCAGGAAGATGGAAGTGCCACAGGGGCACCAACGGGCTCCAATCGCCCTGGTCAGCTTCAGAGTGTAATGTTTTTCTGCAGCCCTTTTGACACCCCCAGAGGTTTAGCTGCCTACACTCAAGGTCAGCTCTGACACTACACAGTCAAGATCTGGGCAGTGTCCAACAGCTGAACAACCTGATACAGATCTTGAGAGAAAGACAGCCTTCAGGACCTGTGGATTACACCGGGTATCTCCCACCACAGTGTGTGCCGGGGCCAGCAATTCACCTGCTCCTGCAAGACAACTTTCCCAGAGACTGAAAAGCGAACACAGATCTTCTCAGACACAGCACAGAATGGGAAATGCAGCTGCCAGTAACAACAGCTAACACCAAGTCTCGTATTTCTACACAGAGGTAACTAAGACCAGTCTTAAGTGCGTGTTTTAACCACCTCAGGCATAAACTGCAGTACCCTGTGCAAAGCTGTGCCAGAAAGTCAGCTGGATCCCATGGGCATGGTATTGTTTGGGGAAATACAAGAGCTGAATTCTAATCCTGATTCAGCTTGCCATATGGCCCTGGGTAAGTCACGTCATCTGCCTATGCTTGTAGATTATCAGCTCCTTCAGTTTGGTTCTGATGCTTGTGACAGCTGGCACTTTATTTTAAGACTCATTTCCTGGAGACTGATAAGTACATATGAAACTCAAGTATCAAAATAGTTTCAAAGCCTCAAAGCTGAAGAATTAAAAACTTGAACATAGAACTTGAAGAAACTGCAAATTTCAACACACAGAGGAACAGACCCAAGGTGCGTTTCCTGAAAAGTGGAGATTCTATTTTCAAAGTACTATTACAGGGTCGTGGTTTCCAATTTACTGTCTCAGAAAGCTTCTTCTTGTAGCCTTAAGCAGTGTTAAACAAGTACAGAAAAGTCATGGCTAAAGTGCTATCAACAGCCAAGCCCTTATCTAGGTGACTGTGACCACTACGTGCACATGACAACTTCATTTGTCTGATGGTTTTTTCCACAGCCCAATGACAAGGAGGAAAGAAAGTGGGGAGTGCAGCCAGATTTTC